TTGCTAGAAATTGTCCCTGACTCCTCAACATTACAGAATTACTACATAACCATTTGAATGAATGTGTGTGAGAAATCATATATATATGCATATATATGACAGAATCTCCTGCCCCCGCACCAGGCTGTTTTCACCAGAGCCCCCTTGGAGTGGGGTGCATTGAGTCTCCCTCCCCACCCCAAGCAGAACTCCAGCAGCTGAAAACCTCCAGAACCCAGCCACAGCCATGCTCAAGGCCACTCTCCACATGCTCAGACGAGCCTCAAGCATGAAGGAACTGGCAGAAGAACCCAGGTATGCGAGACCCCTGGTTGAGATCGCCAAGCCTGCTCAGATCGGGACTGGGTCTCCTCCACCCAGATCCCCAGTTTTCCAGTAGCTTGGCAGTCACACCCACAGACTGCCCCTGGCGCCATGTAATCTCATCCATGGCCAATATCCAGAGGCTATAAAACAAAGCTCCCTGAAGAGAGCGATGCAGAATCTCGCATGGCAGAGCCTGGCAAGCTACCCATGGTGTATTCAATATATCAAAAACAAAACGGGCTTCATTCCCCTGACCCTGAACAAGACAGGGACAAATGGAGACGTTATTGGCGCCTGTTCCAGCAAATTGATGAGCAACGGGACCACAGTGATACAGTGATACTGTAGAACTGTAGCACTGATCTCCCATTGTTTATTAATTTGCTCGGGCAGGCCCAGTAACGTCTCCATTGTGAGACTTGTTGTTACTGTGTTTGGCATATTGAATAAGTCACAGGGAGCTTTCCAGGCTTTGCCATGTGGGCGAGATACTCTCAGTAGCTTGCCGGGCTCTCTGAGAGGGGCAGAGGAATCAAACCCAGCTCAGCCGGGCCAGCCATGTGCAAGGCAAATGCCCTACCACTGTGCTATCGCTCCAGCCAGTGACACAGTAAGATATAGATATATATATACATATATATATCTGGTGTGTATATATATATATATATATATATATATATATATATATATATACCTGGACATGACTATTGCTGGCACAGAGAGAGAATGTACTTGTACATAATTAATCTCTGAGGTATCCAGTTGATCTCCATAATGAGAGCATCAGTCTGAGTATCAGTATGAGGAAGAAGTTCTAGAGGCAGATTCAGAGTGTGGATCATGACCACCATAGTTGTTAGCAATAGGATATGAGTATATTGAGTAATGCCTCTGACCCACTTTCTCACTTATAAAGCATGAAGAGTGGATAATTAAAGTGCCTATCTCAGAAAGTCATTATGAAAATAGATGATAGAGTAATAAATTAGATAATAAGGAACTTAGTGTGTTTTTTGACACTTGATAAATAAATAAATATCATAACACATTGTCATTTTTCAGTAGACTGAATCTTCACACTGGAAGGTCAGGAGAACTCTTGCTAATGCTCAAAGACTTTCAAGCTCAAGAGATCTGACTTCCTTTCTCAAGGAGGTTTCATGTAAAGAGGAGGGTCTTTCTTTCCCTGAACCAGAATGTCCCTACCAGCACTGGGATTGCACTTGGGAAAAATAGGAGACAACAAGAATGTAAAGCTGCCTATTGGTCTCCACTCACATCCGGTAGTGTGAAAGGTCTGTACTTCCATTCAGTCCAGCACGAACTTCTGGGAATGTTTTGGATTTGTAACCACACCCTTACACACAAAGAGTCACATCAATCCGCAGCCTTAGAACCTAGAGAAGGTGGCTGGATCATAAGGATCCCTGTCTGTTCTGAAGCCCAGCTATTGTTTCTGGATATTTTTCAGGGACACACCATGGAGTTTACCACTGAGACCATTCTTTCATGAGAACCGTACTGCACTGGTCAGTGGATGGATGGTTGACTGTCAACCTCCAGTTCAGTACTTCAAAGCATGAAGTTTGGAGCCAAGATTTTGGTCTCTATCAAATACTGAGCCAGTGAGAGTACTTAGGACCCAGTCATCTGAGAGAACTATTCTGATGGGCACCCTCTGCCCCAGAGCTCTCTATGGGGTTGAACAAGATTTCATCAGGTTTATATCTGCTTTTCCAATCCTGCTTCCTCGTACTTTTATCTTTCACAAGAATTGCTCCCCAATTAGCACATTGAATGTGTCTCAAACTGCATCTCCGAGTTTGTTTCCTAAAGGTCCACAAACACACGGGAAAGACAACACATCTCTGTGCCATGATCTTCATTACTGTAGGATAACTTGACTTCAGAAAATGCATAACCCAGCTCAAATCTAATGCCTGAATGTGTGGATTCCAAACCTCGTGACCAGGCAAAAGCTGGTCTCTTTATCAACCCAAAGCCATAGAGACCTTTAAAACAATTGAAAATTCTAATCTATATTATCTGTTTTATGATGTGAGTTCTTGTCTGTAGTATTTATTTTATGATGTGATCCCATTTATGTTATTGGTTCTGGGGCCCCGCCTGGCAGTTCCTCGGACTCCCTTGGCTCTATGCTCACAGGTCGCTCCTGGGGGTGCTAGAAATCAAACTAGAATTTGTGCCTGCAAGTCCAGGGCTTTAACCCTGTACTAGATCCCTGACCCAATATTTTAAAATACTAAATATTTACGCTACATGAGCTAATCCTACCTCACTATGTTCCCCTTACTGTTCTATTAATATATATTTTCAATTTTACTATATGTATTGGCTGAACATAAAATTAAAAAGTTAAAGACCAGAGTTATCAATGTAACCATGTAAATTAACTCCATTAATATAAGATTCAACTTTTGTTTAAAGCATTAGAAAGTAATATATTTTACAAAGTATCATTTTGTATAAGTCTTTAGAAATATAAACGAAAGTTACTATAAAGCACTGGGTTCAACAGAGGCAATTTAGCCTCCCAAAGGGCATTCAGTAATATTCAGAGACTTTTTTTGGTTGACATACCTGCTGAGAGAGAATAAGAGAATGTTACTGACATTCAGATAATGAAAAGAGGCCAGGGATGCTGCTAAATATCTTACAATGTGTGACCCTAAATGTTACAAGTGTCAAGGTTGAAAAAAGCTTGCTTTAAAATTATAAAGTGTTCGATGTCTTGATTTCTTATTAAATTAAAAATAAAGTAAATATTTTGCCCACAATTCCATAGTGATTTTTATTGATTGTATTAACCAATATAACCCCCCTGTTTTCTATCAAAAACATCTGGAACACCGAATAAAATTAATGCCGGAGTTTATTTTTCCTTTATACATGGAAGTGTTGTTTTTAAACATAGTATTCAAATATCTTATGAGAATGAAAAGCATAAAGTACGTTAAAGATTAGCAGCCTAACCGTCATGGACATGTATTAATGAATCTTAAAGCTTTTATTACATTCATTCATATTCCTTTGGTCAACTTGGTGACATTTTTCTAATTTAACACCTTAGTTTTAACAAGCACCTAATGCTAATTTTATTAATCAATGCTAACAAGCATGGTTTGATTTAAAAAGCAGAATAAACTTGCATGAAATGTCCTGGTCAAATGAGATAAAGCCCTCTATTTTAGCAAAGCCTATTTTCTTTTTAAGTATGTAATTGTGTGGGTAAAGTAAAATTAACTTTAAAATGCAGTAATTGAATAACTAAAATTTAAAATTCTCACTTGAAAGCTAAGAACCAGCATCAAGTTTAAATATTATCAGGGGGGTAAAGGTAAAGGTAAAGGCCCTCCCGTTGATCGTCGATTTGCTTGAGCGGGCCCAGTAACATCTCCATTGGAGACTTTGTTGTTACTGTATTTGGCATATCGAATACTCTCGGTAGCTTGCCAGGCTCTCCGAGATCAGGGGAAGAATGATAAATAAATAGTTTCAGGGCACATATCAGTCTTAATTTTCTGAAAATTCAAAAAGAAAACTTGGGAGCTTCATCTGACGGTCATGGAGCGCCCTCTACCGAACATAAAGGCGAAGTAAGGTCGATTCCGCTTAGATTCACTGGTGTTACACATATCACTCATATGCCTCTTTTTAGCTCTTCTGGAATGCTCAGTATAAACCTGTCCTTTTATTTGACTCCCCCAAAATTAAAAACAAAAAAGTATACAAGAACTTTACCATTTATATTAAAGGGACATCGGGACATCATGACATAATGCTCAGAAATCTGTCGAAGGGAAAAGCTGTCACTGACTTGCAACATTAGTAATATTAGAAACCAAGCTTTCCTTAACAGGATTTACCTTCTCGTCTTCTTTCTCTCATGATACCTGAATCCACGCTAGAGAGAGCCTAAGATCCTTCCGGACAGTGGTCATAGTTAATCCTAGAAGTTTACGTTAAATTGACAGCAGGCAAAAAAATAATAATAAATCTGGATTCAATGAAATCTACTAGAGTAAGAAAAAGTTCCTCCACCTCCCTGCCTCGCCATCCTCCTTCCTACAAGACTCTAAGTAGTAAATAGTCAGGTAGTTTTCAGATGCCAAGAATCTAGTCTAAACAGAAGATCTTCGCCTCCTTAATCCTATCTCTACAGCTCCAACAAAAAAACACGTGAAAAGTGGGTGCCCCAAGAATAACTGAGATAGGTACCAGGAGGTTCACTTGTGGCTTGGAGGCCAGCCGCACCCCTAGGGGAAAAGGCAGCTCAGATAGAGAAGGGAGCACCAAATAAAAGGTGTTGGAACGATCCTCCCAGGATGAGAGATGCATGCTGAAAGTAGACTATAGACCGAACATGATTGCCACTCAATGCCTCTTTTGCAAACTACAGCACCCAAAAGGAGAGAGAGAAGAAAAGGGAATGCCCTACCACAGAGGCAGGGTGGGATGGAGGGGAAGGGGGGTGGGAGGGATACCGGGATCAGTGGTGGTGGAAAATGGGCACTGGTGGAGGGATGGGTACTCAAACATTGTATACATTGTATAATTGAAACCCAAGAACAAAAATTTGTAAGTCTACAACTGTACCTCATGGTGTTTCACTAATAAAAATTAAAAAGAAAAAAAGAAAAGAAAAGCGTGTGCCACAGGTCACTGGCTCTTACCTGAGCGCTGATGAGGAGGCAGCCGCCTAGCAGAAGCCACCCCCAGACGTGAGGGGTCCCCTGGAGCCGGGCCATGAGGACTCAGCTCCAGCAAGGTGCCCAGGAGATGCTCCAAACTCAAGACTGACTTGGTGGCCCGGGCAAACTTGGGATCACGGGGTGTGATGCCGGAGAGGCAGCGGGTCTTGGGACCACCCGGCCCGGGATGCCCAGGGTGGCCCTCGAGTTGCCCCAGGTGAGGATCACGCCGCCCGCGCCCCGCGCGTCTGGGTTCTGGGTTTGGCTTGAGAGGGAGGGGTGACCGGGTTGTCGCCGGGCGCCCCGCACGTCTGGGTTCTTTCTGGGTTCGGCTCCGCGGTGTCCGGGCTGTCGCCGGGGAGGGCTGCCCGGGTCCCGACGGCCACCAGCCGCTCCTTCTCTCTCTCTGCACGCGCCCAGCAGCAGCTGCCGCGCGCCCAGCAAAGCTGCAGGAGCCGCGTGGAGACGCCAGAGCGCCCGCTCTGACTCACTCCGTTCCGCAGCCCCGGGGACCCGAAAGCAACTGATCCGGAGCGCGGCTGCCTCCACCCCCAGTTCCCACCGCCTCTGCTTTCCCTCCACTCCGTTAGATTCAGCACCCAGACTCTTGCAGAGGCACCGCAGGGGCAGAGGCGCAGGGACGCAGTTCACATCTTCCACCACTACCGTCTCTATCACCTCTTAAATGTTCCTCCTGGGGTCAGAGCGACAGTACAGAGAGTAGGGCCTTTGCCTTGCGCTAGGCTGATCAGGATTCATTCATTCTCCTGCATCCCATAGGGTCGGTCCCTGGAGCACCACCAGGATTAATTCCTGAGCACAGAGCCAGGACTAACCCCTGAGCATTGCCGGGTGTGCCCCCTCCCAAGGCAAACAACAAATAATAAGTAAATAAAACGTCTTGCTCCTGAACGCGTGTGTGTGTACTCATCTGGGTCTAGATCAAACTGTGTTCGATCAAAATGTGTTAGTATCGTTTTGTATCTTGGATCAGAGACACTGAGTCAAGAGCACTCAGGTTCCCAGGATGCGACTTGAGATGGACCAATTCCTCAAGTAGGCAGCACTGCACTGTTGCACTGTCCTCACCGTTGTTCATGGATTTGCTCAAGCAGGCACCAGTAACGTCTCCATTGTGAGACTTCTTGTTACTGTTTTTGCCAGTGGCTGTGGGAAGTGGGCCTGGCTGCCAGGGTTCCAGAAGTACCCACCTCAACTCTGAAAAACATCAGGGTTTTCAACTTGGGCACTGGGTACCTGAAACTATTCGCAGATTGGCATCTCTGCAAAGAATATTCATAAGGCAGTGGAGTTGAGTCCTTGGCATGGCTGCAGTGGTGGGGTGTGGGTTTGGCTGCCCGAGTTTCGGCCAGGTATTCTGCCTGCCCCAGAGTTTTTCAGTTGTGGGTCCAGTGATTTCATTACATGTCAGCTGCTTGGCTCGCATCTCCTGGGAGATTTAGATGGGCATCTGTAGAGCAAGGCCAGTGGGTGAGTCAACATGGCAGCAGCTGTCCAGACAACAGTTCTGATCACCCTTATTCACAAGTTAAGCAGGCTAGTGAGAGAGGGAACTAACAAGATGGCAGGATGCAATCTCACACCAATTCTTCACCGTTTAACTGACAGCCTGCAGCAGATCTCAGGATGTGGGGTAGCACTTAGGCTGCACTATTTGGCCAACAGCACCTGGCACCAAGTCTCAGAATGGGATACCCACCATACCAGCCAAGATGTCATCCACACATAGCCACAAGTTCATCGTTTTTCCTCTTGTATGACTTGTCATCATTATACCCTAATTATATTCTCTTGGTAAATGACACATCACACCATGGACAGTTTACAATTGTTTTATCCACTCTGGGATGGTCTTATAAGGAGCTAAAAGGTCCTGGGGTGGAGGGGGTTGGTGAATCCAATTTCTCATAAAACAGTCATTAAAAATCCTAATTTGCATATAATCAAAGATCTGCCTAAATGACTTGGTAAGGGACTGGAGCGACAGCACAGCAGGTTGGGTGTTTGCCTCGCACGTGGCCCACCTGGGTTTGATTCCCAGCATCCCATGTCCCCCGAGCACCGCCAGGGGTAGTTCCTGAGTGCAGAGCCAGAAGCAATCCCTGAGCATCACTGGGTATGACCCTAAAAGAAAAAAAATAAAGACTTGGTAAAACTCTCTTGTATAAGACAGTTGGGGCTTTGTCCTCGCTACTGCCTCCCCTTTGTCCAAATAAAGCCTCTGAATCCAACCTAATCCTTACACCACATCTCTGTGATTTCTACCTTAAGAGAGTACAAAAAATGGGAGGGGGTTGGGAGAAAGGGCTGGGGAGGTATTAGGGATATGACTCAGTAATAAGCTTATGTCTTGCTTGCATGAAACATGAGACCTGGGTTCTATCCCCAGCACAGGAGAGAAAGAGGATAGAGATTGAGAGAGAGAGAGAGAGAGAGAGAGAGAGAGAGAGAGAGAGAGCACATAAGAACCTCCTGCCCTGTGACCATAGTAATAATAAAGGAAATCAATCCTAATAAAAACCATTCTCCAAGGAACTGGTTGCTTTTGGTAACATTTGGTTTGATCCTGTTGTCTATTTTGTCATTGGATGATGGAGTTGAGGTTATACCCAGCAGTGCTCAAAAGCTGACTCCTGGCTCTGACTCAGGGATTACTCCTGGCAGGCTTTGGAACCGAAAGGGATACAGGGGATTGAACCCAGGTAGACCACGTGTGCGGCATGCATCCGAGCTGCTGCTTCCGTCTGTTTTGTCTTTTATAAGTCTGTTATGTCGTGCATGACCACCTGTCCCAGAATCAGTCAGTTTACTTGCTAAAATTCACATTCCAGAGCTCTACCACAAAGTTGCTGAATCCTAACCTTCAGGTTGGATTCACATTTAGAAATGTGAAGTTTTAACCGGTTCCTGTGAGATTCTTTCAAAAGTTAAACTTTTGATTCTTGTTTTTAGCAAATTGATTCACATAGCCAATGTACCCTCCCTGTCTCTAAAGATTAATTCTGAGAACTTTAATCTGGGAGCAGAGATTCCTATTTCCAGCTGCTCCATATTTGAGGGAACAAACCAAAATATCAAAACTAATTAATTTGAAGTTTATTGATTAGTCAACAAAGTATTTAATTGCCTTGACTATGCCTCTAAATCTTTTCAGGTTTTGATCCCAAATTTGGGACGTGGGTGTTCCTGTCAGTGATTGAGTGTGTGTGTATGTGTCTGTGTGTGTGTGCGTTTGTGTATGTGTGTGTGCACAGGCCCTTTATATCTTTATCTATGTATGTTTGTAATTTGTAATAGTTTCTGCTTTTGATATTTCAGGAATTCCTAAAATTTTTCCTTAGACCACCTCATTTTTTTATATACTCCAGTTTGTTAAAACTTGGTCCACTTTTTAAAAGAATATACTTTTTTTTCATTTCAATGAGACTTAAAACTGAAAATAGAGACAATTTTATCTTTTTCATCTATCTTTTTAAACTCTTTCAAAAAACATATTCTAAAATTCTTGCAATTTACCATTTTATGATAGTATATGTATGATCCAAGAGAAAATTTTCAAGATGTATAAAATCACAAAGAATATAAATCAACCAAAATTCCTTTACCTAATAGTTTATCTACTCATAATTATTATAACTATTATTTACCTTGGGCTATACAGAATGCTTTTTTATGAATGAGAAATAGTCTAAATAACAGCATTGAGCTACATAGATTTTGTTATTTATTTTCTATGTTCTCTATATGCTTACTATATAATCTAAAAGGAAAAGTAAAGTACTCTAAAATTAAATTTGTTCTGATGACTATCCTTGAATAGGTATTTTTATGTAATTCATAAATAAAACAAATGTTTAAAAAAATTTTGTCTAAAAGTTATACTTAATTGGGGCCAAAGAGATAGCATAGCAGATATGGCGCTGGCCTTGTACACAGCTGACTCAGTTTTGATCAACTACCTTGCACCCATGTGACCTCGGTTCTATTCCTGGCACCCCGTATGGTTCCCTGAGCACTGCCAGGAGTGATTCCCGAGAGCAGAGGCAGGAGTAACCCCTGAGCAACAACAAGTGAGGTCCAGAAACCAGAAAAAAAAAAGGATTTTTATTATTTAATTTTATTTATTTATTTATTTTGTAAATAAAAGTGATACTCAAGTGTAGAGCTTAATATGGATATTTATAGCATGGATCTGTTTATAGCACCATTGAAGCAAAACCTTAAACTCTTGCTCTTGTTGGTGCTGTTTTCATGATCATATTGATTTAGCAAAGATGATATGCCATTATTGTTTTAAGTCCATTAACAAGGGTGACTGTTATGTACACTCACTGACTACTTTTACATTGAGGGAGTAAGAGGGAGACCAGATGGGGTATAGACTAAACCTAGTTGTCCTCTGTGCTTCCGGGCATAGAACAGGAAACCATGTGATGTCGGTATTGAACTGGGACTGGTGACATGCCAAGCAAGTGCCTAAACCCCAATATTATCTCTCCAGCCCCAGTTTCACCTTTTTTAAAAAGTTCTATTTTTGCTTCTTGACAGAAACAATGAAATGTCACACAATGCACATCTAACAAATTTAGGTTCAAATACTGGACAGCTACTCTCTAGCTTTAAAACCCCAGGCAAATTGTATAATGTTTTCTTTTTGTCTTAAGCTCCTCAACTGTAAAATGAAGGAAATGAAGATACATCTCCCAACTTTGTTGGAAAAGACAAATAAGTTGACATGCACAAAACTGTCTGAACAATGTCTGATCCAGGAAAAGTGTTAGCCAGTGTGATTTGTGCTGTTTGTTATTATTATTAATCCTTTTAGTCTTGTGACCATAGACAATGACAGAGCAAAATGCTGGAGCTTTAATATTTCCTACTTATATGGAAAGCATATCTCTATTTAGAACAATAAATCTTTTCTAGTATAAATACCAAAGTGTCTTTCCAACTTGACTTTTGGCAAAATTTGTTTTATTTAAACATTTTTAATATTTAATCAGTACAGAGGTTTTTTAACCT